AAGACAACAGGAAAATGACCAAAAAATCACTTAAAAACAACATATGCTGATCCATGGAGGATATTGATACTACATAGATATTGGATTTATCACACACTTTAAATACTATATTAAATAACCAAAGATGATAACAAGATGGAGACTGAAATAGAGAATTGAAATCCATGAAAAAGAATAGAAGGGAATTCTAGGACTGAAACATATAATAAATAAAACTTAAATTCAATAATGAACCAGAATGTAGTTTGTTAGAAATATCTATAATGACAAAATGGCAATCCTCAAGAATACAAACAACAATAAATGTTGGTGAGGATATGGAGAGACAGTACATTCAAACATGGCTGGTGGGACTACAAATTGGTATAACCACCAATGGAAAGCAGTATGGAGAGTCCTCAGGAAACTTAAATAGAACCACCATTTGACCCAGTTATCCCACTCTTTGGCATATACCCAAAGGACTTAAAAATCAGCATACTATAGTAACATGGCCACATCAATATTCATAGCAGCTCAATTTACAATAGCCAAGCTATGGAACCAAACTATATTCCCTTCAACAGATGCATACATAAATAAAATGTGGTATATATACACAGTGGAATATTACTCAGCCTTAGGAAGAATGAAATTATGATATTTGCTGGTAAATGGATGGAGCTGGAGAATATCATGCTAAGTGAAATAAGCCAATCCTAAAAAATCAAAGGCCAGATGTTTTCTTTGATATGTGGATGCTAATTCACAATAAGGTAGAGGGGTACTAGGGAAGAACAGAGGTACTTTTAATTAGAGGGAAGTTAAGAGAGAGGAGGAAGGATAGTAGAATGAATTGGACATTCTTACTCTATGTGCATATATGATTACACAACTGGTGTTATTCTACATCATGTACAACCAGAAGAATAAGAAGTTATTCTCCATTTGTGTATGATGTGTCAAAATATATTCTACTGTCATGTATAAGTAATTTGAACAAATAAGAAAAAAAAGAAATATCCGAAATAATAGAACAGAATGTAAGTTGTTAGAAATATCCAGACAGAACAATAGAGAAAAAAGGGATACACACACACATATGCATATATACACACAAGAATATAATAAATAAATTTGCTATATTAAAAATAATATATAATTATATATAATAAATAAAAAATATATAATAAATTATATGCGAAAAATAAAAGATAAAGTCAAAGTGTCCCAATGTTCTCTCATTGTATAAGAATTATATGTAATATAGAGTAAATATTATATGTGTATTTATAGCTTCAGAATGAGGAGAAAGAGAATAAATAACAGAAACAATATTTTAAGAGACAGTCCCTGAACTACTGAAAGACATCAAGCCACAGATACAAGAAACCCTGTAAATCCAATGATAAGACAAAGTGAACTTCAGCAAAACCCACCATTATATAAAGCTGTTATAAATGAAAGGCAAAGGCAATGTTACAAGCAGTTAGAAGGAAAAGTACATATATTATCTTCTAAGAGAAAAACAAGTTGAGTTCTTAACAAAAATTATGGACACCAAAGATAGTGAAATAGCATCTTAGGATGAAAAACACCCCTGTCAAATGAAGACTATAAAAACTGTGATTCAAAATATAGAAGTTAAAATTTGCTGATTTTAAAATGATCTTTATTTTTTGTCTTTTTATTATAAAATAAAAACCAGGTACTTAAAATAACTAAAACAAATATATAGCTTAACAAATTATTTTAAGGCAAACACTCACGAAATTACCATAAGGACATAGAACTTCTTCAGCCACTCAGAAACATTTTCTTTGTGTGCTATCCAGATCATAACATGCTGTCTGCTCCAAAAGTAACCTTTACCCTTTTACTGTGCATTTATTATAATATCTTTCTTGTTTTTATGCTTTTATTACCCAGTTATACATTCCCAGACACTATGGTTTAATCTTGCCCATTAAAAAATGTAAGTGAGTCTCCTACAGCTCCCTCCATTCCTTACTTCTCCTTGGGCTAAAGGTTAAAGATCTGGGTTGTTTGAGCTGTCAAATTTCCAAAGTGTGGATTTTGTTAATTTCATAATGTGGCAGGTTTCAATAAGTCCTCTCTTTCTCTGTGTTTCTTGCAAATTTTCAGCTGGACCTAGAGCTGTAAACACTGTATTTTCTGAAAGAATTTATTATCCAATATATACTAAATGAAATACCCAAGGGAGATCTTCAGGCAGAAGAAAAGTAATGCCAATGACAGGAAAATATTGTAGGAAAGAAAGAACTGCAAAGGACAGACACACGTGTAAGTAAGTCTAAATAAATCTTGACT